CAACGCAGTAAATGTCATTGTGTAGAGACCATTCGTATTGCTCGATCCAATGGTGTGATAGTGTCACATCCGACGGACGTGGCTCGTAGGTGCGAAGCAGATTCACAATGAGTGGCACTGCCCCTGGAACAGCCACTCCGAGCCCAAGCAAATGGTGCAGGAGTCTCTCCATCTCCACCACACTGGCAGCGTATGGCGCGACGTGCTCCGTGTGACGCTCGCTCCGAAGTAATAAATGTTGTGGAAGCTCCGCATCATACTGGTGAACAGCGAGCGACTGCTGAATCACATGGTAGTCGGTGTGGTATGCAGCTGAGCCCGTGTCGCCAAATAAAAAGATGGCCTCTGCGTGGCGTGCGTCGGCACGTCCAAGGTCCTCCTCCTTCACAAGGTCTCCAACCATGAGGATAACGCGGTCTTTGAACCACGGCAGGTTCACCAACAGCTTCACCTCTGGTGGGTGGTCAACCGGCGAGAGCAGCACAATTCGGACGTCAAGGTACTTCCGCCAGCCGCCGTAAAAGTTCTGTAGAAGAATATCAACCCCGAGCTCTGTGAAGACGCCAGACATGATAACATGCGGCTTCTTTCCACCGCGAGAATTATATGCATTGTAATACAAACGCTCGCGACCAATGCGAGCCAGTCGCTGGAACAAGGGCATAAAGAAGCTAAGGGCGATCACAATGAAGCCAATCATCAACAGTCGAGCCGGCGTTGTTTGTGGTGAGACATCGCCAAACCCAATTGTGGCGAAGCCAACAATCATGCAGTACAGAGAATCGTAAAGATCCATGTAATTCCCGCATGTGCTCTCGACAATCTGGTGTGTGCCGACACAAGTGCANCAATGCGAGCCAGTCGCTGGAACAAGGGCATAAAGAAGCTAAGGGCGATCACAATGAAGCCAATCATCAACAGTCGAGCCGGCGTTGTTAATGGAGTAATTTCGCCAAACCCAATTGTGCCGAAGCCAACAATCATGCAGTACAGAGAATCGTAAAGATCCATGTAATTCCCGCATGTGCTCTCGACAATCTGGTGTGTGCCGACACAAGTGCACATCACAGCCAAGTGCTTTGTAAGGAAACGGCAAATCTCTCGGGTGATGTCCATCATCCACCACGCTACCTGTGGATAATCCAGGAGAATCACCACACAGTCATACAGCCACCACACGCGCAGATACATGGGCACCCAAAAACTCTGCCACCTTTCGTCGGTCAAAGCCCCAATGCCAAACACTATCATCGGGACACTTGTCGCTGCATTCACTATCGAGAGCCACGAGAGGCAATACCGCATCTTGTCGTCTTCCCCGAAAAGGAGAATAATCCACTCCAGGAAGAAGATGATATTGAGCCCAACTTCCACAATAAAGACTGTTTCGTTCCAGTGGAACTCAGCAACTGATGTGGCTGCTGTTACCTGTGACGTCCAGACGTAGAATGCCACAGACACCAACTCCATGATGAGATGGGCGATCAAAATAAAGATGGACACATGGCTGTACTGCTGATTGACGACCTCAAATAGTTTGCGAAGGGATCGAATATTCTGTATTGAATTGGGGCGGTACGCCACCTGTGAGAATTGCTGATGCATTATATGACTACAGCTATGGTCTGTCTCGAACTCTTCCTTTGTCCTTCATAAACATGGAGAGCGGAGATTAAGCTACTGCATACTCTAGAGAAGCCACACAGAGGCACCGCGCCCGTTTCAATCGGAGAGCTGATTTCGTTAAAGATAATTTCTTTTAGTAGCTCTTTTGGTTTCCCGTTGGTGAACTGCAGAAGCCCCTCTCAAGAAGACCAACATATCCAGCCTCCACAACCACATTCTCCACAGACTTCTTTGAAACCAGATCGTATGACTTATGGAGCCCATACACTCCGGCAACAAGCACAACGTCGCCCTTCTGAGCCTTCCACCGAGGCGCCATAACACGCACGGTGAAACGGTTGAGATACATCTTCAACTGTCCGACACGACGCTGACGGTACCCTTCCGTTCGAAGGGTGAACTGCAGTGCCTCCAGTCCCGGCACTAGGTCTTTCCCTTCTTGTTCAGTGCCGATACCCAAGAAGCCTACCTCAATATCATCTTCAACAACACCAACGCAACGTATCTCCGAAATCCCTGTGCCCAATTGAAGGTGGTCGTCCTGCAACGCCTGCAGCTCGGACAAGGAATAGCTCACAGCTTTAACCTCAGGAACCACAGCGGGAAAATGTTCTATTGTCTCACTTCTTCCAGGAGAATCTTCTCTTTTATGGGATGGTCGCACAGAGGAGGAGCAATCTGCCCTCAAGGCGTTGACTTTCTGTAGCTCTCGCAGTTTCGCCTGAAGCTCCACATTGGTTTTCCGTAATTGTTGAAGGCGCTCCTCGGCAGGAGATGTGAGTGTCACCAAGTGCCGGGACCGTCGATGTTGCTGCAAGTTCGCTACACTTAGAAAACGTTTTCCACATTCTGGGCATTTCAGCTGTGTAGATGCCTCTTTCCGCTTTTTTGGCGCCGTGTGTTCGGTAGGGGCTGTGTGTGGGCCGCATTTAGTTGTGCAGAAGCGCCGAACAAAAATGTGACAACACTCCTGCATTCTGCCGGGTCTGCTAGCCAGGCCATGGGATGGGGAGAAGGTACGACTGCACAAGGCCTCGCCCATCGCATACAGCCGCATTGGGCGAACCACACTGATACGTCGCATCTCCACTCTGGATTCTAACCCGTAGCACAATATCGGGGGAAATGCGAAGTCTATTTCAGTCTCTTTTATCACTAGCTTTGCATGCAGTCCGTGGTACGGAAACTGTTCCCCCTTCAATACTGCTAGAAAAGCGGAGGAGGGAACAGACATCAGTTGTTAAAAAAACACGACCCTGGCGCTAAACCTCACACTCGATTTAACTAAAGCTGTCTTGCCTTCCAGGATAATGTATCAAGCACTTCAGGGCACAGGGAGCCAGTGCCACCACATATTATCGAGCACCCCAATGTCTTTCCAGTTTCATCAAGTCAAGACTTAAAAAACTCACTTATGTAAATGTAAGCGGCGGAAACCTGCCGTGAAAAATGGCACGGGTCACACGAAGGACGCAATAGTGCTTGGTGGCTTCGCACACTGACGCGGTAGCTGTTTTTCTTTTGGCAGGTTATTTAAGCATCTCAGAAGGGCATCCCCGTGGGCCAAAAGAAAAAAACATCACTGGCCAGTCGTAGAGCGTATATTGCGTATGATCGTTTTGGTTTCCCACTACTTTCAGCATGACAAAATGCAGCTCCCAGTCACGGAACCCTTAGAGACCGTCGTTTTTCTTTTTTTTATTGGCATTAACGTCCTCGATGCTCCCCAGGGGCGTACCTCTGTGAAGCAAACCTGCGAAAAGCAACGTTGGGAAGAAATCATATCATCTGTTTCTCCAAGAGACCATGGTGGAGCAGACTACTGCTGCCCACACGGACGTAGGCAATCAACCGCATAGGTTGCGGAGAGACTCGCATTCCCACTTTGAAAGCTAAAAAATAATAATTGACTTCGCTAGCGTATTGGTCTGTTCCAGTTTTAAAGCCGCAAAAGAACGCTCTTAAAAGGCCAGTTACAGCAAACAAGCCACTTCACCGTTGATGCGTGGTGACGTGTCTTTCAAAAATAATCAGCCATTAGTTCCTCAAAATTCATCTGGATCATGATTACTGGGGACTCATAACATCTAAATTCATGCGAAAAAACGTTTTTCGCACGGATGTCGCTGTTGCACGCATTAAGCCCGCAAAAAGCAAGCAAAGGATGTCTTTTTTTCTTGGATTCAGCAAGCCCCACGAAACGCCCTATACTTCTATTACCAATATATATGTCCTTTTTCATTCTTTCTCGTGTCTTCTCGGCCTTCGCCGATGGCCTCCCCACAGCAGCCACCATCGTAGAGCACGTGCATCACCGCCCATCGTTGATATGAAGGGAAGTTCCTTTTTTTTTTTGTATTTGAGATTTTGCTGCGTTTGGGTTCTTTTTCGTTTCCCGTTCAGTTAATTTTGTATTTTGTTATACGTTTTGTTTGACCTTTCCATTGAGGAAACGCGCACTGAAGGATTCGGGCAGCCGCTCCCCCTCATCCAGGATACCCGTAGGGCTAACAGTCAAGCCTTCGGCAAACCATAGCAGATGGGTGGTATGTTTCGATGTTGAGTGAGGCATGGATCCAATCAGCCAACAAAGCAAGCAGAGGGGGGAATGGACAAGCTCCTGATCACGCATGATACGCGCCACGTCCGTCGTGGAAGGACGTTAAGGACAAAGCATCTCCACTGCAGTAGGGTATTGGGCAAGCTGTTTCGCGAAGTAAAGATTCTCCACATCACCCCTGTCCATAGCAAAGTGGCATCGAAGACTCTTTAAGGCGGGGCAGCTCAATAAGCGCAAGCTCGTCTCTTTGCACTGTCCACGTTAGCTAAGTTTCACGGTGTCCTGCATGATTTCATGGCTAAACATGCGGTGCCTTGTGAGTCCATGTTTGCTGTGGGACTAGTGCCCACACGTCTGGCATAGAAAGTCAGTGAGAGGCAGTTACTCGGGAGCCTCCTCCTGGATGCCTCCGGCGTTTCCCAGTTGTGGGTATTCCTTAACCCTCATGAAATCGTCTGCGGTAAGGCGGGACTAGAATCTGTGTGGGCGAACCATTTCAAACACACCATGTATTATTTTTCTCACTGCTGCTCCAGCAGCAGTGTGTCTTCTTCTCGTGTTTTATTGGTGCTTCGGTCGTGAGGGATGCCTCTGTTCTCGCACACACTGGAATATGTGGTAATGCTTCGTCACTTTCCTCCTGCTTTATGGCTTTACCGTGTAAGGCCGGAGCTTCCACCCTCATTCGCTTGAGGGGTCTTGATGTGGGTTTGTTCGGTTCTTGTGCCCCTTTGTTCAGCTCACCGGGGTGCTTGTGTCTCATCTGGACCGTCATTTCTCCCGCATTGCAGATGGCCTTCTGACATATCATGCAACGTGGTTTGGGTCGTGGTTACCCTTCGCCTGATAGCTCTAGTGGGGGACGATGTTTGGCACGAATGTGGGAGATTAGCCCCACCTTAGCCAGAGCTCTGAATCCACAGCGTTCGCATAGCAACGGCGAGTCTTTATCCTTTTTTTTTACCTTCCATGGGCATTTGCATTCTCCGTTTGGGCATTGCAGGTGGTAGAAAAAACGAAGGTACACAGTTAGTCCACCTTGGGCTTTATACGATGCCACATATAAATGGAAAGAGAGTTCTCCTCGACACTTCTTTGTCATCAGAGTTGGGTCGATTGTCGTGTCCGGTGTTGTGCACTTTGGCCTCGGATCAGGAGAGATGGTTCTGGTATGATGTTCGGTGGCTCCACGGCTATTGGATGTTTGGCGTTCCCAAGGATCCGGGCATGTGTAAATCCATGTTTTTTTAGTCATATGGTTGATACGACTCGTCCTGCAGCTGAAACGAGTTTGGCACGCCGGAAAAATAGCCGGATAACGGTAACGCCGTGGGACTGCCTCTGGGTTCCTTGCGGACTCTTCTGCACTAGGCCTTTTGAGAGGTAAAAGGTCTCAATTAGTTTACACCACCCGCATGTATTTAGCGTGTTGGGCTACAATACTCGCAGTAACCGGCCGCAGTGGTGAGATGCGCCAGTGTAAAAGAGAGCCAGTGCCGTTTCCTCTTCCCGATTCAGCTCTGCATCATTGCGTGTAGGGTTCCAATAGCCAGTGATGTTGGAGAGGTGAGTG